TGGTGCTGTAGCTCAAGTGGTAGAGTGCTCGCCTTGAGCTGAAGAGCTGAGGGACAGCGCCCAGGCCCAGAGTTCAAGCCCCATGACCGACAAAAAAAAAAAATAGACTTAAGTTGGAATAAAATTGAGCAGAGAAGTAAGTATCCCTTTGTACAAGGTGCTACTGGAGCAAAAGCCCAGGTTTCTGTACTTTGTGATGACAGTGCTTCTGATAGTACTCAAATCATCGTTGATAGTTAACCTAAGCATCTTTTGATTTTGTTTTGAAAAACAATCCTCATTCTAGTTGGGTCACTGTCTCTTACCTGCTTGTCCATTCTTTTTGGAGGCATTGTGGGCCAGAACAAAAGCAATAACATTACTACATTTGATCGGTTTAACAGTTAAACAACATGGCATGCATCTGGTACACAACAGATGATTTAGTAAAGTTTATTCTCTTCTTAATCTCTACTTAATAACCCTCATCCTAGAAGGTAACCATGGAAAGGAATTCTTTTCACTCAGACCCTTCCTTTTTCCTGTAGGTCTCTTGGTTCTAATTGTTTCATTCTGGAAAATTAAGTAGAAGTTTCCCACTTGCTTCAGTCCCACTCCATTGACCTGCCTCGTCTTCCTTGGTCTCCTCAGACAGTATGATTGACACAAATAATGGAATATTCCAGCTATACAGTATTGCCATCATAGTTGGGGCCATGGCCACACCCCACAAAACTGAGCAAAAGAAGGGCCTCAGGACTAAAACCAGCATTGTCCAGATATTGCAGTGTCCACCTTGGCATGGAAGTAGCCTATTGCCTTCAATATTCTTAGAAAACAGCATGTTTCTGATCTGCTTTGTGGACGTTAACAATCACACTATAAAAGGAAACATTTTGGGGTTTAATGCTTCAGATCCTATGTGCTTCAGATCCTATGTGCAATTAAATACTTTGAGAAATAGCACTGTAAAGAAAGCTGTTGAACATTGATCACCCCAGCACTTCTCAGACTGAACTGGAGCTCTCTTTTTGAGAAATACCTTTTAACCTCCCATGGCCCTTTTTCCCATCTGCCTTTATCCTTCAAGTGCCTAATCTCAGAATGAGGTTGCGTACCTCCCATACATGTTGAGACAGGTAAGCTCTGGGAACTTATATTCCCATATAACATTTCCCTCTTTGATTTATGATTTTACAAGCTGAGTTTCTGTTTGTGTGCTTTATTTGTCTGAATTATTCTTTATTCCCATATAGCCCAATGCATGGAAAGCTAACAGAATGGAACATAAATCCGGATCCTTTTCCTCTAGCCGGGAGTCTGCTTTTACCAATCCAATCTCTGTTACCAAACCAGTGGTATTGCCTGGTGGCACAGTTCTAAGCTCTCCTAAAGAGGTGAGTGAGGATAATGTAGGGCTCCCTTTTCTAAAGCCGCTATTTCCAATCCAGGTGTGGTAGTGAATGCCTCTAATCCCAGTCCTTCAGTGGTAAAGTCAGTAGGATTGCAAATTTGAGGCCACTATGGGCTATATAGTGACACCCTCAAAAGTTGCCCTTTCCCTATTATTTACACTAGTATGGGCAATCTGACATGTAGTAATACTCTGGGCCAGGGCACTGTCCCTCAGCTCTTCAGCTCAAGGTTAGCACTCTACCACTTGAGCCACAGAACCACTTCTGGCTTTTTCTGCTTATGTGGTGCTGAGGAATCGAACCCAGGGCTTCATGCATGTTAGGCAAGCCACTCTACCAATAAGCCACAGTCCCAGCCCTGCTGTTTCTTTCTTTCTTTCTTTCTTTCTTTGGGTCAGCCGTGGGGCTTGAACTCTAGGCTTGGGCGCTGTCCTTGCTCTCTTCAGCTCAAGGCGAGCACTCTACCACTAGAGCCACAGCACCACTTCTGGTTTTCTGTTGGTTTATTGGAGATAAGAGTCTCAGACTTTCCTGCCTTGGCTGGCTTTGAACCGTGATCCTCAGATCTCAGCCTCCTGAGTAGCTAGGATTGTGAGCCACCGGCGCCCGGCCTGACATTTCTTTTATAACCATTAACTGAGAGTTACTTTTTACTGATTGATATTTCCCATTAGTATCAAAAATAGGGCAGTACCCGACTGGGGTAAAAACTCTTGATAGACTAAGAATTGTCTGCATTAAAATGGAATTCTGCTGGTACCAGTAGAAAGGTTATAGCAGTATATTTTGTAAGGCAGAAGTATTAACCATAAAGACTGCAAAATTGGTATCTTTTTTAAATAGATTGTTTATATTTGATAAAAATTATAAATAAGCTGGATGCCTGTGGTTCATGCCTGTAATCCTAGCTACTCAGGAGGCTGAGAACTGAGGATTGAGGTTCCAAACCAGCCCAAGCAGAAATGTCCCCATGAGACTCTTATCTCTGATTAACTACTCAGAAAACCGGAAGTGGCACTGTGGTTCAAATTGGCAGAGTGCTAGCCTTGAGTAAAAGAGCTCAGAGACTGCCCAGGCCCTGAGTTCAAGACCCACAACCAACAAAACAAATAATGATAAATAGGCTTCTAGATTCTGGAGATGAGTGTCATGTGGAAGTGACCCAGAAAACCCAGTTCTTACTGTTTGCTATCAGGAGCAACTTATTTGTGGTATTTTCCCAGAGTCCCTCCAGCACTACCCCACCAATGGAGATGAGTACCACTCGTCTGACCAGGTTGACCCGTCGAACCACCGACAGGAAGAGTGAGTTCCTGAAGACTCTGAAGGATGACCGGAATGGAGACTTCTCAGAGAACAGAGACTGTGACAAGCTGGAGGATGTAAGTACATAGGTGTTTCTGGTGGTGTAATGTATTTGCCTTGGTTAAATATGTGTATTTTGTGGTCTTTGTTTCTATATTAAACTTTATTGTCCCAGTCCCTCCTCTAGGCCCTATTCTGTGGCTTCTGTTGATCTTTTTCTTATGAGAAACAGAAATGGCAAGATTTTGAAATGTTCATTTTATCTGTAGGAGAGTCAGCCTGCTGTATAGTCCATTATGATAAGGTGGGTTTAATTCATTGTTCATCAGAAATTCAAATTAGGTGGGTGTTTTTTTTTGGGGGGTGGGGAGAGGCGTTTTGGGGGCTTGAACTCAGGTCCTGGGCACTGTCCGTGAGCTTCTCAGGCTCAAGGCTATTGTTCTCTCAGTTGGGCCACAGTGCCACTTGAAGCTCTTTCTGAGTAGTTTTATTGGAAATAAGAGTCTCACAGACTTTCCTGCCTCAGATGGCTTCAAACTGTGATCCTCAGATCTCAGCCTCGTGAGTAGTTATGATTTAGCCTTTTTGAGGGGGCGGGGGAGGAGGGAGGTAAGAAATATGGGGCTTGAACTCAGGGCCCAGGTGCTATCCCTAAGCTGTTTGGCTTAAAGTTAGTACTCTACCACTCTGAGCCATAGCTCCACAGGGTGTCTTTTAAGTGACCATTCAATCACCTATCAAAGGACATCCTGATTGCTTCTGAGTTTTAGCAGTTAGGAATAAAGCTGATACAAACACAGCTGTGCACAAGATTTTATGTAGACACTAGTTGTCAGCCAGGTAAATATGAAAGAACTACCAAATTCTCCTCCAATGGGTGCCACTTTGTGACCCTACCAGTAGTAAATGAAACTTACCATTGTTTCATGTCCTCTCTAGCATTTGATGATATCAGTGTTCTGAATTGTGGCCCTTTTAATTGGAATTGTACGAGGCACTGAGGTTGTGGCTGGGCATCGGGATTCTTGCCCAGACTTTGAAGGAGTTCCCCCACCCCAGTCTGTGTACGCCAGCATACACAACCTCACAGTGCACAAATCCTTAGACAGGGTCATGTGAGCTGGGGCCTCTGACATCTTCCTCTTTTTTTGTTTTCTAAGTGGAGGACAGCAAATACGAGATTCTTTTCTGAAAGGGATATTTTTAGCTATTTTGGAGTGGAGACAGCTGTATCCTGCAAAGAACACAAGCATCATAAGACCCAATGCAGTTAATCCCTTAAAAGCACTGTGAATAAAACCCTTTCACCAGGTATGAGGGTCTAGTTAATCTAATACAGATGCTGTTCCTTCAGCTAACCTTCGTATCCTACCCCAGGGAGCTGTGCTAAGAAAGTCTCAGTGACTTCTTGTTACAGCTGATGTATGTCCCAAGACAAATTATCCTGCAATTCCTGTAGATGGTACTGAAGTTCCTGCCAAGTGATTTTAGTAGCATTGAAGTGGGCGGGGGTAACACAGCTTTGTTGAGCTCCACTCACATTTTTTTTTCTTTTGGGGTCCGGTAGTGGGGCCTGAACTCTGAGCCTGGGCGCTGTCCCTCAGCTCTTCAGCTCAAGGCTAACGCTCTACCACTTGAGCCACAGCGCCACTTCCGGCTCTTTTTTCTTTTTGCTTATGTGATGCTGGGGAATTGAACCCAGGACCTCATGCATGCAAGGCAAGCGCTCTATCACTGAGCCACCTTCCAAGCCCTCCACTCACATTTAAAGGTGAGTTGTTTTTGTAGATCAATTATCTGGTCTCCCATCCACTGGACCATGTGTTGTAGGGTATTTATGCAGGACTCAATGTCCTCTTCAATATTTATCTGATTAATCCACAACTGATGGGAATCCTGGGGCCACTTATCTACAAAGTCGTTGGTTTGCAGGGTGGTATGCAGAGCCACTCCAGCAATCGCAGCAACAACAATCAGTCCAACGACTGTGGCTATAATTATGCCCAGAAACCTCTTAGTTCTTTTCAGTAGTCCCTAGAAGATTCCTGTCAGCAAACCTACAGTGGGGCTCATTTGCGAAGGTTGGGTGAGGACCCTAAGCAAGATCCTAATATCAAGAGAAATTGAGAAGATATATTGAAAATAATAGAACTATTTAAAAAGGTAAAAAGTTAGCCGTGCATCAGTGGCTCACACCTATAATCCTAGCTACTCAAGAGGCTGAGATCTGAGGGTTACTGTTCAAAGAGCCAGCCTGGGCAGGAAAGTCTGTGAGACTCTCTATCTCCAATAAACCACCAGAAAACCGGAAGTGGCCCTGTGGCTCAACTGCTACTCACTAACCTTGAGCTGAAGAGCTGAGGGATGGTGCCCAGGCCAAGTTCAAGACCACAACCAAAAAAAAAAAAAAAGTGAAAAGTTGACAATCAAAACAATCTAAGCTATGCAAAGTTTCATTCATTGCCTGTACAAAAGAAGAGTGATTCCTATAAAATGTATAGTTTGCCTCATGGGCTCTAATAAAAAGACCAATCCAATTTTAAGCTGTATAAAATGGGGCAGCAGCCTGGCACCAGTGGCTCACGCCTGTAATCCTAGCTACTCAGGAGGCTGAGATCTGAGGATCACAGTTCAAATCCAGCCTGGACAAGAAAGTCTGAGACTCTTATCTCCAATAAACCACTAGAAAACCAGAAGTGGCTCTATAGCTCAAGTGGTAGAGCACTCTCCTTGAGCTTAAGAGCTGAGGGACAGTGCCCAGGCCCAGAGTTCAAGCCTCACTACCCACAAATAAAAGGGGGACAGCAAGTTTCCATAAATACCATTGTTGAGGGCCCAAATGTCCTTTAAAATTTATTCCTGGCCTAGGAGGTGCAAGGCCTCCATCAAGCCAGGTATGCAAACAAGTGGGTTCTACATGATTTACAATTCCATTGTATAAATGCCATTGAACAGAAGAATTACTAGTACACCAATCACCAACAAGTTTTTCAGAACATGAAACATCCCTGGGAGCCCCCATTATTATGCTGTATAATTTTTCCTCTAGGGCTGTGGCACTGAGACCACTGAATAGGAATGTAAACCCAATTCCCATATTTAATGCCCTGGCATATAGGGTTGGCTGGTCACCCAGTCTAATTTGTATAAGAAAGATTCTGAACAATATAAACTAAGGAAAGTGTATTGAATTGCCCCATATAGTCAATAGACATATAATCAGGCAAAATGTACACCCACACTTATCTTCCTATTGGTAAACAAAGGGTGCCCCCAAAAACATTGGTAAAGAGACTCAAATCCTAAGGATATAATTGTTCCTTCCTCAGCTGGATGTGTTCCTTCCTCAGCTGGATGAGTAGGACCTGCAGGGTCCTAGGGTGGAGGAAAATACACACTGTCATTAATATGACAGGCTCTAGCCAATCTACTAATCTTAACAATGGTGGGTGAGGGACATAGGTCTGATACTTATATTAGCTACTCACCACAGAAATACAGGCAAGCAGTGCGACCATGGCCAAAAACAGATGTTCAGATGTTCTAGGGCTTTTAGTACTGACCAAAATGCCTTCTCCCTTCTCTGACAACGCCTTAGTCTGACCCCATGTTGGTAGCATCTGGCTGGTTTTCTTGCAGTAAGGACGATAGCATCATTGGGTCTTCACATTTAGGCCTGCAAAGCGATGTGTTAATTCTTCTTCCTTAGGTTTAGGTTGTACTATTGTCATCCTTCTGGGGTCAGATGAACCAAAGAGGAACCCACACATTGCTGGCGGATCCATCTGGAATGATAGAAGCATACCCTTTCCCGCTATGAGTCATTAGTCCTGGTTTCCATTGATCAAATTATTCTTGTTTTTTTTTTTTTTTTTTTTTTCTTGGTTGGTCATAGGGCTTGAACTCTGGGCCTGGGTGCTGTCCCTCAGCTCTTCAGCTCAAGGTGAGTGCTCTCCCACTTGAGCCACAGTACCACTTCCGGCTTTTTCTGCTTATGTGGTGCTGAGGAATCAAACCCAGGGCCTCATGCATGCAAGGCAAGCACTCTACCACTAAGTCACCTTTCTAGCCCCCCATTGGTCAAATTCTTTAAACCGTATAGGAGTATGATACTGAGATGAAGATGGAAAGGTAAAATGCTTTTCAGCACTAGTGTAAGGATCACCTTGAGGTAGATTTAAAAATTTTAGAGTAAATAAGGTTAAGGCAAGAGGTTTCCCTTGGGGTTCCCCCTTTTTTGTTTTTTAATAATTGAAGCTTCTGTATTTTATGGGCTTGTTCCACGATGGCCTGGCCCTGAGGATTATGTGGAATGTCAGTAATATGTTTAATTGGCCATTCCCTGCAGAATGCAGCAGAGCACTTCTTACTTGTATAAGAGGGACCATTATCCGTTTTTATGGCATGAGTAAGGCCCCTAACAGGAAAAGTAAGTGTAAGGGTGGTAATGGTTGCTTGGGCTGATTCTGAGGCATGGGCACTGCTCATGTAAAGGATGAAAAGGTATCTACAACATGTAAATAAGGTTGTTTGGGAAATCAGGTAGTATGAGTAAGGTCCATTTGCCACAAAGTGTTACTGGAATCTCCTTGTGGGTTTGCACTGGCTGAGTGAGTAGTATAATGTAATGGAGCGCAAACATCACAGTCTTGAACAATGGTGGGTGTGGTAAAGGGGAATGTGGTATGGGCATGTATGCCCTTGTATGCAATAGGTCAGCAGCAGCAGCAGTCCCTTCTGTTTAATGGTCCAGGAAATTGAGAATGAGCATGAATATGTGTTAAAAACAGTGGGGATTGTCTATTTTGAAGAAGGTGTTGTAATTGAGTTAGTAAGGGTAACTTATCAGGGTGGTGAGAGGAGAGAGAGGCTATTTCAATGGCTAGAAAAGATTAGGGACATAAAATGAATCTGCCGAAACTTTTATGGGGTCTGGATGTTTTTGTAATGAAGTTACCATTGTCACTAACTCCACTTGTTGCTCTGAGGTGAACTGAGTATGTATGGTTTCATAAATGTCAGGTCTATGAGTAACACCACACCCAGTGGAA